AACTAGAGAAAATCATCATCAAACTTACCTAAAAAAGGGTTTCTCTTTCGTCACGTATCACAACACATGAAATTAGATCCAAAAACAAACTTTAAGATCATGAAAGAAAACCCATCCCTGATGATGTTACTCGCCGCCTTGATAGCCTGGAGAAGCTAGTAGCCGAACACCGAGGTGCTCCACCCCCACAACATGTTACTAATTCCATACCTCACCCCCTGAATACCAACATCACATTGGAACCCTATCCTACTGGCTTCAAAATACCACAGTTGGAGACTTATGATGGGACGAAGGATCCCGATGACCACCTGCACGCCTTTTACTCTTGCATGCAAGCTCAGAACGCCTCTGATGCGTTAATGTGCAAAATTTTCCCCTCTACTCTGCGAGGTAATGCTCGAACTTGGTATTATAGTTTACCTCCGAGGTCGATCAGCTCTTATACAGAAATGGCATCTGCCTTTGCCACTAAGTTTTCCAGTAGAAGGTTGATTAGGAAAACTACTTCTGAGTTGATGAGAGTTAAACAGAGGGATGGAGAATCTCTGAAGAACTACATGAGCAGGTTTAATGATGCAGTTTTGGAGGTTAGTTCTTTTGATCAAGCTGTGGGAATCGCAGTAGTGATCGCTGGTCTCAAGCATGACAGATTCAGAGACAGTCTGATCAAACATGCTGCCACCACTTTTAGCGAGGTGAATGATCGGTCTCTTAAATTCATAACTGCTGAGGAATACGCCCTGGCGCAAAATCCACCTTCCTCTAAGAACCAGAACCCAGAATGGAGGGATGAAAACCCGAGCCGGAAAAGGATGAGAATGGCACAGAACCGAGGTCTGGTGTTGACCTCCCCACTGAGATTCGGAAGGCCGAACTCAACACCCCAGCAACAGTCTGCAGGTAAACCTCTAGTTAATTGGACTCCATTTAATATGCCGAGGTCTCAAATTTTTATGCAGATCAAAAATAAGATGGACTTGAGACATCCTGGCCCAATGCGAACTGCTGCTGCTAGTCGAGACCATACCAGATATTGTGATTTTCACCAGGATCATGGCCATACTACAGAGCAGTGTAATAGTCTAAAGTCCGAACTGGAAAGTCTAGCTCAGAAGGGAATGCTGAATGAGTATGTACAGCGAGCTGAACAACCGAGGTTTGTCAGAGAACAGAGGCCGCAGCCTCAAGGAGTCCGCAATCCCCCAAATAGGCAAGGTGTGGGTTATCAACAAACCCCACCCCCACTCCCACCACCAGCCAGAATCATACATATGATTACGAGAGGCCTTGAAGCAGGTGGACTAAGCTCTAAGCAGCGAAAGCTGTATGTTAGGGAGGTTAAACATCAAAACCGAGCTCAGAAGCGGAAGATTGACGATGCTGAATGGAAGAATCAACCAATTACTTTCACATCTGCTGATCTCGGTACAGTTGTTACACCCCACAACGATCCTTTGGTCACTTTTGTCATGATTAACAACTGTGAAGTACAGCGTGTCCTTGTTGACACCGGGAGTGCACCAGACATCATGTATTTCCACTGTTTCGAGAGTCTGGGATTAGATCCAGCACTGTTGCAGAAGTATGATGGTCCTATCTATGGTTTCAACAACCAACCTGTTCTGGTAGAAGGAGTTCTTACCCTCCATGTGGCTTTTGGGAGTGGTCGGACCTATGTAGCCCCTTCAGTCCGGTTCCTCGTTGTCAAGATGGCCTCTTCTTTCAACATTGTTATTGGCCGGCCCACATTGACCGAAATCCGAGCTGTGGTTTCCCAATCTCATCTCTGCATGAAATTCCCCACTCCTATGGGAATAGCAACATTGCGAGGAAACCAGGAGGTGGCCAGACACTGTTATATCACTTCGGTAACACAACCAACGAAGGGCAAAGATAAGACACCCGAGGTTACTCCCCAGCAAATTCATGATAATCAGCAGGTCATGGGTGTTGAGATCGTAGATAATCGACCGGAAGATGAAACTAGAGCTGCTCCAGTCGAAGATGTTGAAGAAGTGCTCGTTGATGACAGAGATCCGAGCCGAAAGACGCAGATCG